TCCTAAACTGTAAAGAGAAATCTGGCACAGCCACATCTTGCAGTTTGACTCTACATCTCATATTTGCACTAAATCCTGGTAAAGAACCATGCTCAGCATGTCACATGAAACCTCTGCATACTTCACTTCATTAATCCAAGCAGATAAATATATTAGCTATGAACTCTGATTGGAATTAAGATTACCTTTTCTTTCCGAAAGGGCTTTGGTAGAAGTTACCTGATGAGCAGATAAAGGTATAAATAGCAATATAAATTCCACTGCTTTTTCAGGTAGTGCTGGTAGAACATGCTGGTTAGTTAACATAACTCAGTGCTTTGGATCTTGCCTTTTTTCCTTAAGCTTAGGCAATATAGCAAGCAAGATTATTTACTTTTTAAATTAATGCCTCATAGGTTTACTGATAGTTTTAGGAAGGAGCAAACTCTACAAAACAGCACATCACTTCTCTCTGATACAATGCATCCTAACATAAAATGGAAGTTATTTTGAGACCTCAGTGTTTACCCCTCCTTCCCCTATTGAAATCATCTTTTTACTCAGGGCAGTTTCTTCATCCTGGATTTTGTTCTTTCCTCTTCCACTCTCTGCACAATGTGTCCTCCTGTGTGTGACTGATCAATTTTCTGGTTTGGCACCAGAAGTCATCTCTTTCCTTTCAGTCTCTGCTTATGCCTAATTTGTTCAGCAGTAGCTGTGGCAAAAAAAAAAAAAAAACCAAAAAAAACAAACAAACAAACAAAAAAAAAAAACCAACAAAAAAAACCAACAAAAAAACAACCAGAGACAGAAGTTATCTTTAGCTTTTGAGACTTAGAAAAGGTACTGTCCTTACGCTGTTTTCTCTGGGATGTCTCTTCCAATGATTGGCTCATTCCCATGCACGTTAGAGGAGTCTCCTAATTTTCTGTCATCTATTGAACCTAATCTCTGCATTTTAATCCTTGTCTTTATAGTCACCATCATTTGGTACCAAAGTGAATTACTTCAACATACTGTATTTCTGATTTTCCAGAGCTGCTTTTTACTGATTAGCASTCATTTGCAGTGCTTGTTCTTCAGTTCAGTGTTTAAATTGCTGGAAGTTTTCCGGATGTTTTTGGGCTCAGTASTGTAGAACTGATTGTCATCTCCTGGGTGTCAGGTTTCCAATAATTCATATATTTCATAGAACACTTGCTTATAATATGGAAACATCTCTGAGAACTAATATGCTGCATATTCCAAATACATTCCTGCCAAACAGCAGACAGAAGAGAAATTTACTGTGTGTTCTTACAATACTGAGATGTGAGCCCAGATATTACCCAGTCCAAATATATCTAGTAGCTGATTTGTCCTCTGTGATTTTATGGGATCCTTGCCTGTTTTAGATTGGTAACAGTGAATCAACTGTTTCTGTAGGTGATGAGCACTCACACCTTRGGCATTGCTAAATCCAGCAGTCTCAGGCTCAGTCTTTCAGTGCTGGAGACCCACAATCCCCACATGCAGAGCCCCACAAAGCGAACGGGTCTCACAAACAGCCCGAAGGCCAAAGCCTCCCCAGCAGCTGCTGTGGATCTCCTGCTCCCTCCAGCAGCCAACTCACAAACCCTCTGGTCTCTCCAATGTGCAGCCCAATTTATCTCCAGACTGTTACATGGATCCCAAACCTCTCATTTTGCTCATGTGCTTCACTCCCACATACACAGAGTGCAGCCACTCAGGTCTGTCTGGCATGGCAGGCACATTGATCCCTGTGATTCACAGTCCCAGCCTGGTTGGAGGCAAGAGCAAATAAATACCTGCTGAKGACAGGAGTATTTGCTTGCCCTATGGCAGATTGGATMATGGAATYACAGATTTATTCAGCTTGGAAAAGWCCTCCAGCATCATGGAATCCAGCCACTAGCACAATACTGCCAGGTCAGTCCCTAAACCATGTCCCTCAGAACCACTCCTACAAGTCTTAAATCCCTTCAGGGCTGGTGACTCCGCCACTGCCCTGAGCAACCTGTTCCAGTGTTTAACCGCCCTTTCTGTGAAGAAACTTTTTCAAATACGCAATGTAAACCTAGCCTGACCCAAGTCAAGACCATTTCCTTGYATCCTGCCCCTTGTTACCTGAGAGARCAGACCAACACCCACYCAGSTCCACCCKCCTGTCAGGGAGYYMTGCAGAGTGAGGAGGTGCCCCCTGAGCCTCCTTTTCTCCAGGCTGTGCCYCTCCARTTCCTTCAGCTGCTCYTCATCACACTTGTGCCCTTCCCCAGCTCCATTCCTTTCCCTGGACATGCTCCAGCCCCTCATTGTTTTTCTTGTCATAAGAGGTCCAGAACTGGACACAGCAGTGCCCAGCACAGGGGACAGTCACTGCCCTGGTCCTGCTGCCACACCATGGCTGGTACAGCCCAGGTACCACTGGCATTCCCACCCACCTGGGCACATGCTCATCCTTCATGCAGAAACAGAAAAGGATAATTGTTAGGGATTTCTAGAAGAGAAGAAAAAAAAAAGGCAGCACATATTTCTCACCAGACTACCTGGCTGCTTTTACACTTTCCCTAGGTTGGATTCATCGCATTTATTTAAGGTGGTAAATTCTGAATGCATTGGGGCAGTTTTGTTATGGTGTGAACTCAGGGGAAGYCCCAGTGAGGGAAACTGTTTATTTTAGCTCAGTGCACTCCCAGGCACCCTGGTTATAGTTCCTTTCTGGCCAGGACAGCTTTTCAAGGCTGTGAAGGACGGGAGGCTGCAGCAGCTTTCTGTYTCCACAGCCTGCTTGCCTGGTGGTCTGGCCACCTGGAGAGCTCTGCATCGGGCTGTTTGAACCAAGCCTGTGCCATGCCTGCCCCAATGCCTTTCTCAGGCATTTAAACCCAAAAAAATACAGCAAAAAGTGCTTTATTCCTGTAGCTGCCCATTTTGAAAAGCTTACAAATGTCAGTCCCTGCACCATGAGCAGCAGTCGGACCTTAGCATGTGCCAAGTATGAGCATGTGTTTACACATAGTACCATGATACTTCATGTAGGTACTTAGTGGCTTGGACATTTACCCTKTTGAAGAGCCTGGAAACATCACTGMAGGAACTTAAATAAATTAGAAATAGAAGCTAAAAGTAAACAATAAAAATGCTGCAGCAGTCTTGTCTTTCTCCATGCTACTATTTTAATCCTCCTGTGAAAATCTGAGTAAGYTGATCTCCCTCTTGTAAAAATGTTTCCTTAAAACAGACAAACCTTTGAAATAGGATCTTCTAAGAAGGCTTTGTTATTGTATGACATGTCTAATGGGTAGATGCTTCTATTACTAGGACTGTCTTCCATAATACTTTACTGCTTTGATGCCCTGCTAATGTTGTATTTTGATACATTTCCTCTTCAGTATTTACCTGTGGAGAAACAGCTTTTTTTTTTTATTTTCAACATAATTTTTATGTGTTTCATAGGAAGACTTAGTAATATAACTAGTGAATGGAAAGTTCTTTAAAAGACTCTCATGAACCATAAAAGCAAAGCACATGTGAAATGAAATTCATAACTTATATTAAAGCGTGAAGTTCAGCTTCACTTCCCAGAAGCAAGGGTACCAAATTTGGAGTMTTYYTTTTTTAAAGTATTTTCTTTTATTTCTTAAASTACTTTGTATTCTGCAGCTTGGCAAAATCTGAGCCCTCTGACTTGTAGTTTAGTGTTTATTCTGCTGTACAGAGGTACAATGCAAAAATGAAGGAAAAAAATGGAAGAGTTAAAGTAATAAACTACTTGTGAATTTATAGTTATTACCTCTGCTAGCAGAAAGACATAAAAAAGGTTGTGTTTGGTATCTTAAAGAATGTTAACCTAGAAYGTTAGAATTATGAAACATATCAAATGCTGTACAAATACAATAAACGAATATAGAAGCTTTACTTTTATTTTAGTGTCTGAAAATCCTGGATCCATTGCAAAGAAAAAGGAAGCGGCTGTGGGTGGGTGTGGTGGTTTTTACTTTTTGCWGAAACCACCATGCCAGTATCTAGTTCTCGGTGTGTGGGAAAGAAGCTGGCAGAAGTTACATGGGAAAACAGTGAAGGCAAACTGAGATAGAAATAGCTTTAGAAGGTAGAAAGCATGGAAGTGAGGGAGGAAGAAAGTAGGTGCTTCTGGGAYTAGACTTTCTATAAAATCAAGGAGGGCAGGTGGCTTCAATCCTTCTTCATATCTTGGCATCAATTCTGGTCTATCACAGGATGGTTTGGGTTTGGAGGGTCCTTAAAGACCATCTTGTTCCACCATGAGCACCTTCCASTATTCCAGATTGCTCCTATCCCTGTCCAGCCTGGCCTTGGGACACTTCCAGGGATGGGGCAGCCACAGCTTCTCTGGGCAACCTGTGCCAGTGCCTCACCAACCTCACAGGGAAGAATTTCATCCTAGTACTTGTTCTAAGAAGTACAACATAAAAAACCCATTGGCATCTTACCTTTTGAAATAGTTATTTGGTAATTTTGTAAGTGAAAGAGGGTGCAAATGCAGAATTCCTCCCAATAGTGCACATCCTGCAGCTTTGTTTGCTCTTTTCTGTTTGAATTATAGAATTATAGAATATGTTGGGTTGGAAKGGACATTAATTATYGTCTAGAGAGAAGTGGGAAGTTTGTCATTGAAGACTGAGGTAAAAAAGTTGTGGAGTGCCTCAGTTTTGTCCTCGTCTGCTGTTACAAGTTTACCAGTGTTATTTATTGATGAGGAGTGTACACAAATGTGCCTGCAAACAGGATTTTCATCTATTTTCTAAATCTTTCAGTTTGTCTCCCCACATCCTGTTGTGTACATTCTTGMAGCTCTTTTGTTCCCCTAATCATATGAGTTTGGTTCATAATTCTTGCACCACGCTGAGTGATCTGTACATACAGCAGTAGTAAGCTGATTGTTGTTACTCATATTTTCTTCTGTTTATCTTTCAGGAGACCAATACTTTGTTTCTTTTTAACTAATTTCCATAACCTTGCAATAAACCTCTTTCTTTCAGGTTTTCCCTGGGAGATGCTCGCAGGCCACTCCATGAAACKGCAATTCTGGTGGAAGACATCGTCCACACTCAGCTGATAAATTTGGTAAGAACATAACTGGCAAAATATTCTGCACTCTAAAACTCCTTCAACTCACATGATATTTTTGTGATCCAGTGACTAGTAACAGATTGTGCTGGGTTTAGAAACAAATAAAACATAGGAACTGAGTGTGAAGCTCTGGCCTCAATGATTTGGAGAAGCTGCAGTTCATCTTCCTTGTAGTTATGTCCTGTGTGCAAGGGATATCTGTAACCACACCTAACCCTGGGAAGAAAGCTGGTAGGTTTTTTTTTTTGGTTTTTTTTGGTTTTTTTTGTTAAAAGCTTTAAGTTGTTAAAAAGAAAGGAACTGGCTATTCTTCTAAAGACTGTGTTCTATTATTTGTTTTAATGCATTATTTGCTTCAGATTTATGTCTTAATATTCCTTCTGTGTGATGGTTTGCTGTCTATCAAAAAATACTGCAGAAATATGGAATATTGTAATATACTGAAAGCAGTGAAAGTACTGTATAAATGATGGTTTGAATCWCACCTGGGAGAAGCAACTCTAAATTTGAACCTCTCCATAGTTTTTAATTAAAGTTCAACAATTCCTCTTAAAAAAAATCAATCATGGCATTTTACACCATGGCACAAAGTTGCTATCTGACATTTTGTAAAGAAAGGTGTAATTTGACATGTCACCTGTAGGTTGGGAATCATAGCAAGTGTGTTTTTCGTATTGTAGTCTTTAAAGACATGTCAATGTGCCATGTGGGGTCGTAGTTTAGTGGTGGCYTTGGCAGTGCTGGGTTAATGRTTGGACTYGCTGATCTCAGAGCTCTTTTCCAACCTTAATGGTTCTGTGATTTGMATGAAATTACCAGCATTTTTGGGAAAGAACATTATATGGAGCTRTATAGATCATACTAATACATATTATAACTAATATTTACATCTGCTGAGTTCTTGGATCAGCTGGAGCTTTGAGCTGCAAATTCCTCCACCTCATCTTTGTAATGAGCCCTTTTAGCAAMGACAAGGGTTTTTCAGTTTCGAGGTAAGTTCTGGTACTACATTAACTAGAACTAATAACTTCTGTAAAATTATAAAATTCAGAATGGGGCACAGCACATATTATAAATATGCACGTGTGTATAAAATACATATTTTATATATATTTCTATGTGTTCATGCATATAATATATATTTAATAGAAATATACTAAAATTAGACTTCCCCTTGCCCACTGTTTGCYTGCAACAGGTGTTTTCCTTCAGCTTTGCACCTAATCCAGCAGCTGTTCAGTAGTTTCCTGCATCTCAGAAAATGCCTTGGCATCCCCTCCAGCTCCAGGCAGTTTCTTTCTGYTCATACCTCTGCAGCCCAACAGTGTCTCCCTGTCTCCACAGTCTCCTGGCATCTTTGTGGATTCTTTCCTTATTACGCTCCTCTTGGGCTGTCCTGAACGTGCCCCGTGGCTCCTCGGAGGGGACAACATCTCTCCCCTCTCCACAGGTTTCCCGCTGGTTAAACACGCTGCTCTGGGCATATATTTGTACTTCTTATTCCAGCTTTAGCTCTGACAAAGTTCCATTTTCTCTTTGTTAATGACCCCTGTAATTTATGCAAACTGATGGCTGCGGCTTCGCTCTTCCCTCMGCAGTAACGTGGTGGAGTCTGGGCTGTTGAGTCCCGCTGAGGCTTTTCTGAGCTGAGCTTTACCAAACCCTGCAGCTGAGAAAGTGCAACCTGTGGCCATGTGGGCTTTGCACTTTAATCAAAGCCGGGAACTTAACTCTGGGGCTGGATGTGACCCGGGGTTAACCCTGCGTGGGGTGCAGGAGCTTGTAGGATTTCCTGACAGAAGGAAGAATGGGAAYGGAGCAGCAGATAAACAGCTTTTCTAACCTTTCCCCTCCCAGCCCAAGACAGCACTTTATTTCTGAGGAAGTGAAAGTATCTTTAATAGCTCATTGCTTTGACCTCTGACATTCACATGCCGGAACTCTTAAATCAGTAGCGTTTTACATGCCCCGGGCTTCTGATAGGGAATTTTGCACATTTGTCATCCTCAGCTGCACATCCTCACTGAGCTGTTCTATGCAATTATATGGAATTTTCACTTTACATTTAGGTGTTTGTGCAGGTATTTACCCAGTATTAGAAAAATGCTRTTTTTAAAATTGAAGCTGACTGCAGAAGTAAATTTACTGCTTGCCACCTGGATTTTGTCAGATTACTCATGTTAATGGACTACGTAGTTCTCACTATGTAATTTAATGATTTCTTGTTTAATTCATGTCCATTTTTCCATCCATAACACAGGYATAAGGCTAAACTGGAAAAATTACTTTTATGCCTGCAATAAAACTGGCATGTTGCACACATCTTTCATAAGAAAACATTTGTAAGAAKAGCTTGTTCTTGTTGATTAAGTCCAGGTTTGAGCCTCTGCATTAAAAAATAAGTTGCCAGCATGATTACCTTTGATTGGTTGACTTTTGATATCTCACAGGTTTATAGTTCCAGCTTCCTATTTTCARAGTTGATCTGAACTCTATTAAATCAGGGTCTGGTTTGGACAGATTTATACAGTCACTGCTTCAAACCACTATACACTTCATGAAGCCCTGCTGCTGCAGCAGATGACTGCACTAACCAGGCAAATTCCTGGAAAGCAGACTTTTAAGAGTCAGCATCACATTTTATGATAAGTTTTTGGATGTATTTTGAACAATATTCACACTGCTTTACATTAAAGGAATTTCTACTAAAAGTATATAGCAATGTGTAGGATGAAATGAGCATCTCCAGAGGAAGATTCATGTCATCCTAAAATTGCTTTCTCARTTGAATGAGGTTGTATCTCTCAAGGAATTTATTTCTCAGCTGACTAGGAAAGGAATCCTTTAACAGCTGTCTTGGGTTTGAACATCTAGGACATAGGCTTAAAAGGTGAGAGATAAATTCCATCATATTTGTGTCAGAAGTYTGATTTTTTTATACTTATATTCTAATTATAATATTTGTTTTTTGTATATCAAGCAAGAGAAAATCATAAAACCCCCACACTGGAAAGTTCTGTACATTTCTTGGTCAAGCATAATGTATTTGATAAGCACAATAAATTTAAGTTTTAGTTTGAAATCAARTTCACTGTTGATTGGTGGCAACAGATCTAAATGCTCATTTATAGGTAATGTTTGAGGGATTTATAAAAGCCTTACACTATCRTAAAACTCTATTTCTTTATGTGTGCTAAGACTGATTCAGCAGGGAATGCAAAAAGATGTTAATCAGAAAAGGACAAGACTTTAAATTACTGACCATTTGAAGTGGAATCCGGCCTCTTATTTCATTCTTYCATCATATCTGATACAATCTTCATGTGCAGTAAGAAGGTTTTGAATCATTGTCTTTTATAATAATCTATTAATATCTGTTCAGACCCTTAGAAGTAGAACTCAAAGATCCTCCTTTAGGTCAAATGCATATTATTCAGCCCTTCATCAAAAAAAAAAAAAAAAAAAAAAAAAAGGCTGTCGTTGAGAGGTTTGCATTCAAAATAGCTGAATTCTTGCACAAACACAGATGTAAAATCTTCTGGAAATTGTTTTTTATAACATTTAAGAAAGAGTCCCTCTTTGCCTCTACAGGCTCTCTCCAGATTTTTTATCCTGCTGGACTGATTCATAAGAAAGTGTAGTATTATTAGAATAATTATATAAATACTAAATAAATTATAATAATAATATAAATATTAAAAGCTACATATTACTAGTATCWTCTCTTGATAGGGCTGTAGCTCCTTGTTCATGCCTCAGAGGTCACATTCAAAGACAAATAGACAAAGTCATGATGCACTAATTAAATCAGAAAAGCTGTTAAGGAATTACCTTCCTTGTTCTGACCATGTATCAGCTGGGTGTTTGTTATCAGAAAAAAATAGCAGTTTATTCTCTAGGAACACTGGCAGGCATCTGTTTTCACAGAATTTGGTCATTCAGTGTAGCACTAGTTTTGGAGTTCAGTACTTTACATTTTATTTCAGACATACCAAATGGCTTCTGGGAAGAGATTAGATTTGTTTTTACAGAATGGAAGGTATTTTAGCAGTAGGACAGAGTTCAGCAAGGGAATAGGTAAAGTATACCAAAAAATGCACACCAAAAAATACCGGTGACAAACCTTGTCTGTCCATGAAAGAGTGGCTGCTCAGAGAGAAGGCCACAGCACATCACAACAGCCTTGAACAACATCCTTTAAATGTTTTATCTGCTGTAATTCTTTGTAATGTGTGAAAAGTCCTCATGGAGACTGTCATGCATGATAGAATTCACGTTAGAATTGTGGTTTGCTCCCTGTCAGCCAAAGTGTGCCTTCTGGAAGATGGGCTCTGATCTCTCCAAGTGATTGAAGTCAGATCCACTCTGTTGGCTTTATTTAGAATTCAGTAGTGTCAACTTAAAGGAAGTTCAGTTGCCCAAAATCATGTTGTGCATGATACCTGTTGRGATTTCTTTCATCATTTACTTTTATGTTCCTATAGAAGTATTTAATTTCATACAACTTGTGCTACTACCTAATGCTATTAATGTTCCACTCTTGTTTTCTATGTAGGAGCATGATTTGGGTCTGTATTACATATATGCATAAACAAGCACTTTGAGTGTACACACTTTTTTTTTTTGTTTGTTTGTTTGTTTTTTTAAATATTTGAAATAAATTATCTCTTACACAGGTAACATATTTAATTCAGTATCAGTCTTTTGGTCTCAACCAAAGCACAAAGCACAGGTCAGCAGGTGAATAATCTGAATATACTGGTGAATAATCTGAATATACTGGAATACATGGATTATATTAAATTGCAGCAGTATTTCATAGGTAGAAAACTTACAGTGAGATGCAGAGATTCAGCAGTATGCCAAGTCCCAAGTAAGTCTGTGGTAAATCCATTGTGTGGAATAAATTGCTTTTTATAGTGAGAAGGGTAGTAAAGATTGGGTAGTCATTTGCCACCTTTTTCTAGGAAAAGGAATGGTGAAATACAGAGACA